CATGTTTGTATACATGATTATGCTATATGTACATGTTTGACATTTCAATTATAAATAGAACAATTCAGGAAGAGCATTCAAGATCTGTCACCATGACGGGTCAAGACGTCATCTGTGAGGATATCCACCAAAACATTAGGCAGTCATTCCATTGATGTATAAATAGTGGAGTTTCTCATAACAAATTCAGTTTGAACTTTGAGTTCATGGCTATTGACTGCAACAAAAGACCTCAGCCAACATATGAAAGCAGAATGCAAGTAGCATGTCTATCCTCAGTAGCAGTTTAGAAAACTTGACATACCAGAATCGTGTTCACAAGCCCAAAAGTAGGTCTCTGTCAAACAGTGGCGGCAGTGTCAGTAGGCCAGACCCTGCACTAAGCCAGCAGAAATGGAATGTCAAGTGGGCCAGGGTAGACAGGTCTTACCTACTCACTTGGGGCTCGGAATTTGTGACGAAAGTAAACAGGGCATGGGAGGGGAAATACCCTGTTGATGCACTTCTTGGTGGGGGTAAGACATTTGTGAAAGACCCAAGTTATAAATAAAGCAAGATATACCGATCAGGGCTGTAGCAAGCACCCATTTTTCCGTCAATTGGTGTAACTTAGTGGCACGTGAACTTGAAGGAAAATTTTTTAATCAATCCGTCAACCGTAACAGATAAAATCGATAATCTTGGGTAAAAATATAAAAACATCTAAAGGACAACCTATCACAAATCCATGACTTACCTCTCAAAATGTGGGAAATTGCATTTTTGAAGGCTTGAAAATTGTCAATGGCTTTAACTTCGGAAGTGTTAGAAAAAATTGGCATGTGCAGTGGAAGTCAAACTGCCACAGGCAATATTTATGCACAGGACATTCTCAGTGCTTAACTTAGAATTCAAGACTGCATACAAAATAGACGAGGTGTATTCCAAAATTACCAACTCTGTCGTGCAAAACCGCCACCAATTTCTTGATAAAAGGAAGGCCAAAACAGTCGATACTCTTTCAGGCTTGGAAGGCTGCTGGCTAGAATACCTAATAAGGGTTATAAATTCCCCTGGAATTGTCGGCTGTAAGGCACGGCCAGCGTACACTAACCTCTGACCTCTCCTTCCACCAGATTGGACGTCTTTGGGAGTTTAGGTGGGCCGGAGGGATAAAGGTCAATATTAAACATGAATTCTGATGACTTGGTCATGTGTAAATCGTGTGGACAGGACAAAATAAATCAATTGCTTGTTTGATGTGACCGAGGATAAACTCCTTTATGTGACTTTGTTGATCCCAGGAATTTCATCCTGAGAAGCGAGATGTACATTTTGCAGCAGAAAATCTACTAAGAATATTGTAATCTTTGACACTGAAAGAATATTGTACTCTTTATACTGCGTACCATTCTCACACAATGAGGGCACAAAGACTGACAAGTCAAGAGGTAAAACATCTGGACCTGCAACTATAATCTACACATCAAAAATCCTTTTGTCAATAAATAAATACTACTAGTACACAATTTTCTAGTGCATGCAATTAATCATTTGTAGGTACCAACTTTTTTCTTGATAACTTTAAGGATGATTGATTTCTAGAAATTAACTGTTGTCTCTCCTTCCCCTAGCTTTATCATAAGAATAAAACATTAATTGAATCATCAGTACAGTACAGTACAGTGGGAGGTGCACAGATGAACCATGCTGTTCCACCCATAGGACGCCCTCCCACTGGGATAATTGACATGTAATGGCAGAAAATATGCAGGAGATAGACTCCCAGAAGATTGCAACATCTAGATAATTATAATAATTATAACACATGTATGCAGTGCTTGATATGAATGGGAAACTCCAAGGCAAAGCTTTTATAAGCTTGATAATGGTCTTAAGGTAATTAAAAATCTGTTGATCTATTGGCATTATATTACATTTCAACAGTGAAAGACTCCCTTGTTTATTCATACAACCTACATGATGTAACCTTATGTACAGTTAAATGTCACAATATTATAGGTACATTTCACAAAGTTTTCCACACTTCAATAAACATGTTAGAGCAGGATCCTTACCATACCACCATCCCTGCCAACTGATTATTGTTCTTGGCCAGTCCTACACATGTTTATACTTACAACAGCAGCAACACTTCTCTGATTGATAGCTTTCCTGCCCACAGCCAGTTGGCTCTTGTTTCTATTATCACATTTGATACTGCCTCAATACAGGTATAATTGACTGATGACAGCTTTTACCAGTGTTTCTGCACATGTTCTGAATCAACTTCCAAATTGCTTCCAAAATATTTGGAGTAGAGATAAACATTTCTGGAATTTCCTTCAACTAAAGCTCTCTGCCAACTCTGGTACAAGATGGATAATGTTTGTGTAACTTCAGTTTATAATTATGAATGCAGGAGGCTAGGTCTTCATAACAGTCTTCATGATGGCCTGTTGACTACCCATCTCTCCAACATAAACTACAAACCTCTAAAAAGTGCCACGTGATGTCAAGTCATTCTCTACAAAACATCTTCGAGGCATTATAGACATTAAACCTTTTGTTATCAGTCTCTCATTACTTTGTATGTAAAAACAACATGCAAGCTGTATGTAATGATGTGTTGAGCCATACGATAATGTACTGTACCAGTATCCCTTACGAATTCCACAGTAGGACATGCTGTTGATTCTATAGAAAGGGCTTAAATATCTGGCTATAGAAGGGCTATATAATACATGTAGATCACAAAGCAAAAGCTTTCCGTAACTGAAATAGTGGTGATCTTGGTATGCTCTCGAAGTAGATCGACTGTAGCAACAGAACTTGTCAGTAGTCCTCTTGATAATCCAGTCACTAATCCCATGCATTGATTACAACCCCCTCTTTCCACATGACTAACGAGGGTCTGCAAGGGGGAATCCTGGAGGGAGAGCCGATAAAATTTGGCCTCACAGAAACAGCATGCAGGCCCTCACTTAGCCCAACAACATCCGATTGTCCAAGGAGATTATTTGCCAGGGGGAAGGTGGAAATTTGTCCGCTGCCTTCCTTACCAGCTGCATGATTTCCCACCAATATTCCTCCAGAGGACACACCAATGCCTCAAGTTGTATCCTGCACATTTCTGGAATCTGGGCGGTCCTTCCTGATTTGATTTATGGCCAAAACCCCAGGGGTTCCCCCTCCCTGTAAGGTCTGTCTGCCAATCTTCCTTACAACAACAACGCTTCCTTTGTTCTGCGATATTTTTACCACAAATTTTTACCACAAATATCTCTCCATCCATAAACTGGGACGGCCATGTTACTGGAAAAAATTTAGCAGAAGTGAACCCTAACCACAGCTACGTTAACAAACTCCATGTAACGTTACCACTTTAGAACTACGTACACTGTACTTTTGGTGAAAGACATATTCCATTATCATATCAGGTTGCTTTCAATATATCACCAATTAAATCATCAAGAGTAGATATGACGAAAATATCATATAGAATATCCAGATAATCATAATCACTTAATGGTCCCTAAGGTTATTTTCCTGGGAAGTTACACTGGCCAGTTGGTCACAGCTATGCCCTTTATTCCCCTGATTTCATTGACCTCAAAACCTTAACCTAGTTAATTTTCCCAGATACAATCTGATTTTCGGGTTACCTTCCATACTCAGGAATGGCCATCTGGCTGTGATAATCTGCATGATTATGTGGAAGCCTTCCTGTGATAATTATGGTGCAGTTAATCCAAGCCTAGGTGAGTTACCAGCATTAGCGACAGGAGATCACCTTTACATGTCCAGCCTCCAATAAAAAAGCCGTAAAAAGCTTGATTTCCTGCTTGCAAATGTGGCAATTATTCTGCTACAGCCCTTTCACTGATTCCCTGAATCCCCCTGGGTGTGATGACCACAGATGCCAAAGGAGCAGCTAATTTGATTTTGTGTTTTTTAACCAAAAAGCATGCTGCAACATATGACAAATTGCTATGTGATGCCTTCTACATATCAAGATACATGTAACGTTACCACCCTTGCATAAGTATTGGCAGAACTTTCAAATGGTACCATCTAGAAAAAATCCCAACTTACTTGGCAATTCATTCATTCATCTCATTTGGAATTCAGGGAGCCAACTAGGAGCCAATAGATAAAAACCAATCGTCTGGATCCTTTTTATTCTTTCCTTTCCTATGGGGAAGGGATCTACACACTCGGTTTAATCAATTACAATACAATCACAAAAGTATCAATAGAGTAGCAAACTCTTAGGTTGTATTTGTAAGACAATGGCTACTTTTAAGGATTAAATATCCTCCATAGGAAAACAAGCTGCTTGAAAGGGACTGCCATATGTGTTCAACGGGGATGACATTGTAAACATCGGACTGGACTGAGAAAATAAAGTTTGATGTTTTTGATGTTGAAGAATTTGTTTTCCATGTGCAAGACGTGCTGGGACCCCATGTCGTGACCTGCGCTGACCCCATGTCTGCCGGGGAAGCCCCTCGGGATCGGAAGCTGTCATCCTAACCTCCCAACCATCGGAAGTTCCAAAACAACATCCAAATCTTCAATACAGTTGTAGAATATAAAAAGTAAGCCCAGATTACGAGATTCACTTCGGAGGTATTTTGTTTGGGGTTGAGCAGTCCAAACACCACGGGGTGTCAAATAACGGGGCTTGTCATCGAGAGGCAGTTCGCCAACAAACACTGGGCTTCCCTCGATCCACATGACGTGGTTCGGATTTTGCCGAGTAGAATGTCGCTATAAACTACACCGAAAGCTGGCATGGATCTGCCTCAGTCATCTCAGTTTCGGAAGGAATATGTATGAGACAATGAAAGCCTTGTTCGGGAGGGATCACGCCCCGTGCCTTGACATGTTGGCACACCGTGAACTGCACCTCTCTCTTCATCAAACACAGGACGTGTGAAAACCCACAACACTTCCCCTTTCTAACGGTCATCGTTACACAATCCCGGGGAAAATATAATCCGAACCCTCGCCCTTACCTAGAAATCCAGCCAGGAATGACAGCGAAGCCTGCCAGCGAACTCACGCGGCGGACACTCCTACCCACTGGTCTTCAGAGAGTGAAGGAATGCGGTCCGGCCGACCAAGGTTCCGCGGCCCCGGCCAAGACGGGCTCGGCAGGGGAAAATCTCCACTGCGTCTCCTCCGGATCTTCGGTAAAGGACAACGCGACAGGAAATTCTACAGCCAGGTCTCTAACATACAAAAGGAGAGCCGACTGCTTACATGTCCTGTCCTCTACACATCGTGAACACGAAGAGGGCTGAGCGCCAGCTGATTGTGCTGCAGTGTGAGGACCGCTAACTGATCGAACCGCTGCCGCTGTTCACGGTTGAAGGGCCGCCAATGAAAATGGGGCGGTTAGTCTCGCTCCCGGCCCTTTGGCAGAGTATCCGGTAACAGGACCTCACTGATCAACAGCGTCCTCTGGCGGACAAAAGCTTTATAGCACCATGTTGGCCAACACTGTTATTCACGAACTTATAACTTATAACGTTAGCATTTCACCAACCCAAATATCAGACCTAACGTTAACTTACCATGAAACAAGTCCGACATGTAATGAGAACGTTTCTGGGCCAGCCATGCCATTAGACCTACCGCCCGGTGCCCCCAGGATCTACTTCTGGGCTACAAGATTCAACAGAGACCGCGTACGAGCGCCGTCTACCGGAATTGGTTAAATACGTACTTCCGTGTTGTCGGACGTTTCGTGAAACCCTGTGGGAGAATTAAATTCAAAGAGCCGATTGTTTGGACAATCCGTTGGTCACCCTTGGTCATTCCCCCTTGACCCACGCGGGGTTAACGTTCAGGTAAGAGCTAACGTTACATTACTGCATTTGTGCAATAAAACACGCTTTGTATTATTTTAAACAGGCTTCAACAGCCATTTGCACAAAGATAGTTGCAGGAATCGGGTTTGTTGCATGCACCTGTGATATGATTATGATGTTATTCGGCACAAGTGTCAGAATTAACGTTTTTAAGGCCTTTAAAGATTGCTAGGCTTTGTCAGCCTCTTTTTACAGGCTTCAGAATAGACTGGAAAGAGTAGAAATTGGCCAAATATAGACAGATAACATGCCAGGGGAGTTGGTCTGCTATTAATTTAAGGTATACATTTGCCACTGGTGAGGATAATTCTTGCATTGGTACAATATTAATTTCTTCCTACACTCAAGTAGTACTTATTCTTACATCATTTAAAGGCAACAGCAAATGACTTCTGCCCTGCTGAGAGCTCTTTTCAACACAAGACCTAGCGGCACATGGTTGCAGGTGTTTTCAGGTGTGAGGTACTGTGGCACAGGTGGGCAGATGTCGGCAGGTGGTGGGAGCTCAGGACGTACCCTGATTGCAGTTTGTCAGATGACATCACGATCTGACAAGGAGGACAACTTTCAGGTGTACTCTGGGTTGATAGAGAGGGCATCAACACGAGGAGCCAAGGTATGGGACACCTTGCAGGCAATATTCCATGTAAAAGATTGTCATTTCTGGTGCATATTGTCTTTGGAACTTTTCAGTAGTTACAGTGACCTTTCACAAGTATATTACAGTACGACCCCACTATATCTTGTAGATTGCTGAGAAAAAAAAACATGTTTACCCCGATATGCATTGTGAGATGTTCAGATAACTTCAACTGTTCTCCAGGTATCTATTAAGAATTTCATCAGGTTTCTGAATGATTGAATAGCAAAGTTCTTTTTTTCAACCACTTGTTAAACAAAAGCCAACGTTTGGATGGCCGTTTGTCATTGCAATTATGAGTGGTTTACTGCGCACTGAAGCTGCATGTAGGTGAACCAGTAATACCTAGTCTCGGTGTACAGTAAACCAGTCATAATTATTACAATATTAAGTAATATTGCCCTGATGAAGATGACAGATGTCATCAAAATGTTAAAGTAGTTGTGAATAAAGAACTTTGCTATATTTTGTATTCTATTCCACAGGTAGTGTTCCTACCAGAAGGTTTTGACCACCTGGGAGGAGGTGTTCCCCTGACAGTGTCTATGGCAGAGACTCTGGATGGAGAACTGATGACCAGGATTTCTGAGTTAGCCAAGAAGCATGATGTGTGGCTTTCCCTTGGTGGCTTCCATGAAAAGGTGCTTACTGTTATTCCTGAGGCATTTTTTGATATCATATTTTTATTTTTTTTTACATCACACTCAAAAGTTGTGAATTTCCAGGGTATTAATATTAACATATTTCAATATGTGTATTTCATATCATAGCCATATCATTGCCATATCATTGCCATAACATACTAGTAGCCAGCTGCCACAAGCCTACAAAGCGTTATACATGCAGATAAAGATCATGTGTGTCATTAGTACAGTGCTCACCAACTATTTGCATCACTGACATTGGCATAAACCTGGTATCTGCATAAAATTCTGAAAACCCAAACCATTTCCCATTCACTACATTATAAATTGCATGGCATAATTGCATGAGCTGTTATGACTTTCACCTGATATTGGACTAAAATATTTCCAAGTCAATGGCACACTGACCCAGAAGTACGTGAAAGAAATACATGTAATTTGTTGCGCATCAGCAAAACTGCATGAAGTCCATTGTTATTCATTCATTATCACCCCTGCACCCTCCATTGTCATACACTTTCTCTGTTGTCACTTCCTTCTGGACAGGTGAGAACCCCCTATCACTCAATGATGATTGTGTGAAGAAGTCCTTTGTTCCTTTTTGGTGTCCTTGATTGGGCTGTTGTTTTAGGTTTGGTAAGCTTTTGCCCAACACAGGGGTTGACAGAAGGTGGAATGTGTTTGATCTTCTATCTCCATGTTAGCCCTGTTCATTATGAGTTTCTAAATGCGACTTGAAGATTAGAATATGGTACATGTATGTAGTTGTGGGTGAAAGTGAGTATATAAATACCAATAACATCATGTTTGTGGTTGTTTCAATTGGCCCCAGCCCAGTATCATCCATAACCAACTGACCTCCCCTCCCTGTCAGTCGTGTGGGCTCTCCTAAGGTTATTGGACTAAACCTGTTATAGGAATAAAATTCCTTGACAAATCGTCCATGCAAATAACAGGAGAGCACTGTATATTACATGATACAGGGGTTGGTGGAAAAAGCAGTCCAGTCCGATCGGCAGAAAAAGCAGTCCAGTCAGATTTTAGTACAAAGAGAATTTATCAGACTGAGGTTGCTTGTTATTTACCGGTATTTTGTATTACACAATGTGTTCTACCTGGATCTCTAACCTGAATTTCATGTCACATTTTGAGAGCTTTTAGGCCACACCAATTTAATTTCTTGGTTAACGGATTCGCCGCTTCATTTTTATCTGATTTGCAAATAAAAATAAAAATTCAGAATCAACTGCAAACTACTCATATTTTGCCCTGAACAATTGAAAACAGTCCTTTTCATCCTAGTTGTTGCAGTTATTCATTCTTTTAATGCAATGGTATCATTAAAAGTTCAAAATTCACTGTTTAAATTTTGAACGAGCATGGTGTGTTGACTTCATGGCTCCTATCGTACAATTTTGGGCCATAATACTAGGATGCCTGGGCCTGTTTTATTTTTTTTTTTTCGCCCGCCCGCTCCATTATTTTTCTAGATTAATCTGTTAACCAAGAAATTTAATTGGTGTGGCCTTAATGTAATTGTCAACGAATTTCATGTCACATTTTCTTTGAATCTGTGTACATGCCAATTGATTTAAATAAAATTGAACTTGAACTTTGTCAACGTTTTACGTTGAATTAAAACGACCGATAACGCTTCACGATGAATATACTGATAACGCTTAACGTTGAATTAGAGCAGGCCAGCAACGATTAACGGTAAATTAAAATAGCCCATATCTGTTAATGAAAAAGGGCATGCAGGCCCTCATTTAGGACCATATCAGCCCAAAAAAAGTACTGAAGTAATGAGAATCAACTTTTCATTGTTGTGAAATGCCATGTCTCTGAGTTACAGCCAAACTGTGTCTAAAACACAATTTCCTTACAGGGATCAGAATCAGATAGCAAGAGAGTTTACAACACCCATGTTATGATGAATAATCAAGGTTAGTGTCAAGGACGTGTTGCAGATTTTGGGTTTACTTTCTTTCTTTCTGCATGGAAAACACCCAGTTGATTCTGTGAAACATTCCTGGGGTACAATTGGTCAACGGATTTCTGCAGTGAAATGATCAAGGACTGGTACTGATGTGTAGTAACTGATGTGGCCTAAAAAGGGTTCTAACTTTCCAACAAGCTTTACTTTTAGACATGAACTTGAAAAACTTTTTTTACAGTTTGTTGTCAACTCTTAGCCATTACCAATGGAATTTCTAATAAGTACACTAAGTTGCTGTTGCATTCCAAAACATGCTATTCCAAATGTTTTGGAATGGGCAATTTGGGATACATTTTGTAGTATTTTTATCGTGTTTTGAAATGGAACGTGTTTGGTTTTGTAACAGTCCCTGACAACCCCTACCCCTCCTACTCACCCTTTTCTTATATTTGTTGTACAGGTGCAATAGTAGCCACTTACAGAAAGACACACCTGTTCTGTGTGGACATACCTGGGCAGGTGAGGTTGAAGGAGACAGACTGGACCATTCCTGGTGGGGAGGTAGTGGCACCTGTGCCCACCCCTGCAGGCAAAGTGGGACTGGCCATTGTATCCTTGTCTCAGAAGTTCCACAGATTACGATTTGTAACATGAAGTTTCTCAAAACTGAACTAATTGTTTTGATTACATGTACTAAAGTTTTGGATCTAAAGTTTTAAGACCCAATTTACAGGCGGGCAAAAACCTGACTGTACAAAAGCTGCATACACACATGAGTGTATCAATACTCCTGCATGTAAATCTGTCTGCTTTTATGTACGTGAATAACATACATTAGATCGTACGCCAGCCCTTGAGGTAATGTACGATCTGAATATGTTCTCGACGTATGCTAAAGCTGGCCGGTTTACACGCAAGAAAAAAATTCTATGCAGTTTTCACCTCCTCACCTGGGTATGTAAATTAGGTCTAAGTCTTTTAAGATAATTTGGGACAAGCTATTAGCATAGTAAAACAGGTAAACTGTGAATGCCTGTATCTAGCCTTTGGTAGTGTGGATACTCATGGGCCAGGGATATGATGACCATATTATCTAACATAAGTGAAGCCAGTAGTGACAATACAAACCCTTAACAACTTCCCTCCCAGTGCTACGACCTGAGGTTCCCTGAGCTGTGCATTTCTCTCGCCCAGATGGGGGCCGACATTCTTACCTTCCCATCAGCCTTCACTCAGACTACAGGCATGGCACACTGGGAGGTGAACAGAAGTCATATGTACATTTATGATTGACATGTAATAAAAAGTCAGTCATGGCTGCACTTTGAAACATGCTCATATCTGCCTGCTGTCTAACCCCATAACCAATGGAGGAGAATTGGTAATCAAATGGCTGCTTCAGTGTGCCAAAGAGATAACTTATTTCTCCTGTGGAGGAAAGGTTCTCATACATGTATATCCAGTTGTTTGAGCAACATTTTCCTTGTGTGTCTCATTACCTGGATGTGTAACCTACATCAACGTCATATCCTTTTATACGGTTCAATTTTGTGATCTGGGAAAAATGCTGAATATCATGACTATTTTAGTGGTGTGCTGCACTGGAATTTATGTTTTCTCTATCACATTACAAAAATGTAGGTGCTGCTGAGGGCCCGAGCCATTGAGAACCAGTGTTATGTGGTGGCAGCAGCCCAGACCGGCGCTCACAATGAAAAGAGGAGGTCCTATGGACATGCCATGGTGATGCCTGCTTTCAATCTTTATTGAATGGCAAAGTTCTTTCATTTACGACCATCAAGAGCAGATGTTTAACAAGAGCCGTGTGTCACAATTACTTAAATTACCTTTGCTACCACATTATCAGTAGTAACACCTAGCTTCAGTGCACAGTGAACCAGTCATAATTGCCCTGATGAAGATGACAGACCATCATCAAAACGTTGGCTCTTGCTATAAACAAGTGGTTGTGAATAAAGAACTTTGCTATTCAATCATTCACTAAGCTGATGTAATTATTCTTGGATGCAATCTTTATGGTCTATTAAAAGTGGGAAAAAGTTTTCATGGTAGTGGAATCAGTTTATACTATGTTGGTTTAACATTTCCTTGTGCAAGTGCTGTTCTCCTGTATGTTGGTAACATTCTGTTGTTTCACCTGTGCAGGTCGTTGACCCCTGGGGCTGCGTAGTGGCCTGTTGTCATGAGGGAACAGACGTCTGTGTGGCAGAGGTTGACCTTGACTACCTGCACAAGGTCAGACGTGAAATGCCAGTGTGGGAGCACAGAAGACATGATATCTATGGACACATAGAACTCAAGACATCAGACCATACTACTGGGCAGGAGTTGTCACAGTAGCTTAAGCCTATCACTGATTAGCCTGGATGCCAGACCCATAGCACACTGGGCCCAAAGTAATATCCCAGTGTCCAGGTATTACTTTGGGCCTAGTGTGCTATGGGTCTGGCATCCAGGCTATTCACTGACTGGAAGCTCAGCATTATGAAGCAAGTTTGAACTATAATTTCCAACACAAGAAACTGGAATGGACCCAAATTTTTGACTGTGACATCAGATGACACACGTGACTAGGTGAGCAGTGGAGCATAGCTTGCAGAGTCTGTGGCGCCCCCCGTCTTTGTTGAGGGATAACTGCAACATGCCCTGTGTAGCCTCTTTAATACCTCATGCAAAAATCTGGTTTTGTGTCCAATATTGCTGCTTTGTTCAATGAGACCATGGAGGTACCTCCATGATGAGACTAAGTATCCAGGTGATAATATAAGTATGTGTTTGTAAAAGTTTATCTTCTTAGATATTGAGTAACTTTTAGTCTTTCCAATATGTTTCCTTACATGGGTTCTTGGTGTTCTGGCCTTGGAATTGTACTATATGGTATACAACACTGCACTTGGATTATATAAATTATTGGAAGATTATCAATTTGGAAGATTAGTGGTTCAAAGATGATTTCTTGCATTCAATACTATTGTTGAATCAGGATGCTTGTGACTCATAGCTTATATATAATTACCTCAGTTTCAGCTGTGCTTACCTCAGTTTCAGGTTTCAAAATGTACAAGAGAGAACCAATTTCCTCAGGTGACATGAGCAAAAGTCCACAAAGTTGTAGAAAACAATGCCAGTATACATGTACATTGTACTTCAAAAGCTGCTGTAATATGAACTTCAACATAGCCTAGGAGCAAACAACATATCAATTGAGGATGACTTAATATATGAATAAAGACTTGCTTTACAAATTGTTTTCATTTGCATTTATTTCAATGGCTGCATTTATAAATGCATTTAGTGTATTACATGTACCACAAAAAATCCCAACGTAATGAAAAGCAGGAAAGGTTGAGAGCAGTTGCACACTGGTTATTTCTGGTTTCCACAAAGAATTCTGAGGTATGAATTGTGAAAAGATTTTGTCTATCATCTGATACATCTTTCTAATACATGTGTAATACTTTCCCAAGGGCATGATGTCTTTCATATTTCTGCTACTGTCCATTCAATCACACAAGTCCAATCACCAAGTATATAACAGCAATAACATTAATCAAACACACTGTCCTTACAGCTGTTGGTAACTGTATTGTTGACATACTCACTTCCTGATTCTTCAGATCCTAGTTGAACTCCTAGGTCAACACATGTTAGGGTTGACAAGCACGTTGGCAGAACGTACTGCAAATGCGCGAAACCCGTAATGTATTGTGCATAGCACTTCAGAAGGTTCTATTCACATAAGGTTGTATTTGCGTATATAAGGTTAACATCCCGTCTGTAGCTTCCAAATGTTATGTCGGAAAATATGTCCTCTGCAACAGGCAAAATTCTGATGCAACGTTGACCAGAAATCCACCGAAAACCGTGAAAATACAGGCGCAGTACGTTCTGCTGACGTGCTGGGTAGACACTTCTACTGGTAGAGATCCCAATCGCAGTCCTTTTCAACAGGGACTCCAATTAGGATGTTGTTAACGTGCTAAAAAAAGGTGGTCTCCCATCTACAAATTCTAAATTTCAAGTTGATCTAGAGTGACACGAATCAAAGATGAAAAGTCCTGACTGTCTTTTAAGCAAATATCTTAAAATCAGGTCTCTGTCCAACTTGGAATAATCTCTGCCTCCCAATCAAACTCTCTGTTGACAGAGACTCTCTGTTACCAGATTGGAATCTACACCTGACTTGTATGTCAGCCTACAGCCCTACACACAATATAGCTCACTGATGCCCAAATACTGTAATACTTCTCTTTCTCGGTGGTATCAGAGTCTACTTTATACAGGCGCATAAAATATCAACAATGAAATCTTGAGGTCAGGTCCATGTACTATCATGTTAGGCAGAGTTTTGCAGCATGTTCGGTAGGTAGGTATGGAAAACACAATTTCCTGACATTTCTGTACACAGCCTTACTATCTTACAGTTTGTCTTATGACTGCATGAATGTCAAACTTAAGCAAGAGAGGGCATGGATAGAGCAATTTCACTGTCATTACAGTACAATCTTGTTAGATAATGAAGAACTGCTGGCATCACATATAGATGTTCTTCATTCTCCTTTGTAGCGGGGTGGCCTCTTCTCTTTGAATGCCATCAGACCTTCCATCCTGTCTTTTGTGGGTATGACCTATAGATAGTCAGTACAAAAAAAAAACATACATCAGTCAGTTTCCCAAATGAAATGTAGCTCTCTGGTACCTTAACAATTGTATAGGAATACAAGGTCATGTTGGCAATCATACCTGAAGTACACATAACAGATTCTTACTAAAGTGTTGCAGTTATAGTCACATAGCATTGATACAATGTATTACAGTACATTTCAAAATTGAAAACTGTGAAGTGTAGTTCCACTAAAAATCTCATGGTAAAAAAATAAGGTGGTAGAAAACTCTCTAGAAAAGTTTTCTTATGCTCCTCTCCCTCTCTTATCTAATACATGTAGAAGTCCAAAAAAAACAGTTTCAATCATCTGATTGGCTACTTGGTTAATTACTTTTGTGTGCAATATCATTCAACTGTCTGTTATGCTAATTTTGCTACTATATGTACCCTACAGGTCCAAAACACTGATGCAGCATCTAGCTGTTGCAAGTTCCCATTCTGTAACCTCACATCTACCTGAGCATAGCAAGCCTCCTCTATGGCCATCCCTGTGTCTAGGTCCACCTGGGAACCCCTGTTAATGGCAATCTTTGCCACCCTCAGTGCTACTGGGCCCTGCAAAAGCCAAACAATACCAAAGTAATTGATGACTGTGAGTTGACTGTAGGAGGTAAATGTATCTGTTATACATTACAATACATTTGCAATGGAAGAAACTGAAGGTAATACCAGGACAATTGAACCCTTCCAATGCAGCTACATGTAGATACGTGTACATTTTCATATACAATGTCTTAAAAATGCTGACAATATTCAAACAAGTAAATGTATTTACATAGTGTCATATTCTGTTGATACAAAATTCAGTCATTTTCACCATCCACAGTGGATAAATTTGTTCAACAACATCAGATTTAGGTGACACTTACCTCTCTATGCGAATCAAATCAAATTTGAGTCAAATTTGACTATGGAACACTGTGGACCTACTCCCGAACACCAGCCAAAAACTAGCCAGCCATGGCTGAACCTCCTTTAAACATTTTGAAACATTTGGCTGGCACAGCTGATCAAAAGTTGACTTTACTGAACACCAGCCAACCACAGCTGACCGTAATCCTAACCATGGTTGGGGGTAGTTTGGCAGTGTTAGTGTGGCCATCTTCAGCCATGTATGACAGGGGCTTAACATTTCTCACCTGAGGTACGATTTCCTGAGCCAATAGCAGCGACCTCTGGTAGGCGGCGTCCCCGTTGCTGTTCTGCGGCACCACGTGGTTGACCAGCCCGATGTCGTACGCCTCCTGTCCATCGATGGCTCTGCCAGTGAAGATGAGCTCCTTGGCTTTAGCAGGCCCGATGAGCCTGGGGAGGTTCTGTGTACCACCTCCACCAGGGATGATGGCCAACTTCGTCTCTGTCAGACCCATCTTGGCAGACACCGCTGTGGTTGGTACAGAAGCAAAAACAGCTCTAATACCATGATCTAAACTTTTCATTATGCTTGTCATCCAACTGCATAATGGAAAGATTAAGATGAGGTTTCTCTTTCTTACCTTCACCAAAAGGAAGATGATGTTTCTCTTTTTTACCTTTAACATAAGGTTATTTTTAGCATTTGTGTGTGTTTATGTATGTATGTATGTATGTATGTATATATACATGTAGCATAATAACTCATGAAGCTGCTATTGATAGATAGTCATGACACTTGGTAGGTGGGTGGGTCTTGGTGAGACCTCAAAATGCACAAAAAACAGTTACTGTACTGTAGCAGTAGATGCTATCCGAAACATTTGACTGTTTCCAAAATCATATCCAGTTGCTGTTTTTGGCGTATCTTATTATGTGGATGTCTAACCTTCATTGATGAAAGACCTCAAAATTATTAGATTTTTGGCTCCCTATTGGCTTTTTTTAGTACTACAGCAAAACATGGCTCTCTCAAAGATATGAGTAATGAAATGACAATGGTTTTTACCTGCTACCCTTATGTCACAGCCCAGTGCCATCTCCATCCCCCCTCCCAGGGCTACTCCATCGATGGCTGCTATCACAGGCATGGGCAGGTTAGCGATGTCCCTTAGTGAAGCCCTCAGCCCTGCCACAAACGGTCCAACTTCACTTGGCTTCATCTTGGCTCTCTCCTTTAAGTCAGCACCTGGGAAACAAGAAATACTTGAATAAAAAACTGGCTGGGACCAAGATGAGAATTGCATGGCATGAATTAAGTAGACTTGTCAAACCCTGCTATATGATTATGAGTTTCAATATTTAAAAAAAAAAAAAATTCAAAGCAGAGAAAAGAAAATGTGACATGCCGACCTGCACAGAAGATTCCCGGTGCAACACTCCTGATGATGAGTACACGGGCATTCTGGTCAAACTTCACAGCCTGCAGTGCTTCTCTAAGCTGGTAGAGGGGGCAATTGATACACTGTTTTCCTTTCCTTCTGAAACTCTGACAGCAAACTGACCAGCAACATTTCCCACAAATGATACTCTCTAGCTATATATGTAACCATTCAGAGAACAAGATTGGCACTGTTGAATTGTTTGTACCATTGCTGGTGACAAACTATTTGCCTCTATCAGACTTCTGAAGTGGCTGGAAGAGTGGAAATTGACCAAATAAACAGATATTGAGATAACATGCCAGGTGAATTGGTGCACCAAACTGTGCTCCTTTTTTTACATAGCAGACCAACTCCCCTGGAATGTTGCCTTCTACTTTCCCAATTTCTACTCCTTCCAGCCACCTCCAAAGCTCCGCTATCAAACTATGCACAAAGTAAGTCATCCCAGAACAGAATTAACATCGCATCCACTAATATTGTTCATAATGCAATATATTAGTACATGTATAAATATTTTTAGAAATGTAACGTAACAGTTGAAAATTTCAAGTGAAGGACAACCCAGGAAGAAACTCACCAAACCAGCCAGATTCCTGCTGAAGGAATTCTTTGCCTCAGGTCGGTTCAAACCAAAGACAACAACACCTGGAGATCAGTAAACAGACATGAAGTTATTCGCACAGGAATTAATACAAGAAGCTACATGAACATTCATCATCAGTCCCATAGGGATAGCTGATCTGCCGTAGGAGAAACGCAGCTACAAAATTTACCGTAACTACTTTCTAAATTTGTATATACTATACAGCAACTTGCGAGAAAGTTGACGTTGACCCAGCTGATAATATAACGTTAGAGTAGAGTAGAGTAGAGTAGATCTTTCGTCTCGGTAGGAAGTTCTCTTCCACTTTGAGCCGCTCCTTGTAGTTTACTGCGTTGACATGGTCAGATATGGAAGTTTATCTGTGAACTGAGATGTATTTAAATTCTAGACAACTTTAGTTCAAATCAATTTTCATAAAGTAGGAAGAACTAGGAAAAACATGCATACCAACTCTTTATTTGGAAAATGAGTCATAACAAGGACTAAAAGTAAACAAATATTTGCGAATTTTCACGTTAATCGCCTTGGAGAGGGGTCTTGCATCTTGGAAGGATGGACTACTAATCTACACGTATTTGAGCCTTTGGTAACATACCGCTTCTAATATCTTAGTTGTGTTTTAAGGATACAGAAATAAAGACGCAAACCGTTAAACCATAGTGAAATCTGTTGTGTAAAATAACGCCCCCCTCCCACGCTAGCACCGATGCACACAAACCTTGGCTATCACCCTCCAAGTAGCTGACTTGCAGCTCCTCTTCAGACGGAGCCGTGCTCTGATGCCGTCTACCTTGTGTGAACACGGCAGAGCCACACTGGGTGACGTTAGTACGGAGAGACAGACCCGGGCGGACAAGATTTCTGACCGAGTGGCACAAAAACTTGGTGAGGGACGCCATGATGCATTGACCTATGACCCCAACACAACAAAACACTGGGTGGGAAGCAGAAATCAACGGTACTAGAGGACCGCACAACATGGAAAGTAATTTACATATGTTTCTACAGCATAAAGATAAAATCACATCATATAATCTCTGTTCTTCATATGAAATGAAAATTTGATTCATCAATCATTGGGCATTTATTTAATTAAAGCAAGGAGGTATTAAAAATCTTTTAAAATGTTTCAGGTTTCTTTTAACAAGAAACGAGAATCGATTTCAGTCATTTGGCGAAGACATATGGGACATATGGTCATGAAACCCTCTTCATTTCTTACATTGATGTACTTTGTTTCAAAGTTTTGACACTTTTGTACTATAATATAGTACAAAAGTGTCAAAACACTTTTGTACTATAATATAGTACAAAAGTGTCAAAACTTTGAAACAATAACGTCAGGGCTAAATAACACACGGTATAAAGTGTGCAGTGGTCATCTCCCAAAGTATGCCTCTGTATCTGTAACGTTAACAGTTATCTGTATCTGAATAGCCAGTATATCCGCTCCTCAGTGTAATTTGCAGGCACGCAGTTTGTTCTTTTCAATTTTGGCGCTGGTAATTAAGTAACATGTTATTGTTAGGGTAAAGTAATCCACCACATCCACCAGTTTCTTAGTCATTTTGTACATCATGCATAGTTTGGACATTTTTACCTGTCTTCCAGTGACATCCATTGTTGTTTTTCTTTTATTTCCCTTACACTAGATTCATAGTTGTAAAGAATCTTGCAGCTTATATCTTGCAGCTTATATCTTGCATATATATATGCCATACTGTATACATCAAATTTTCAAAGCAATTTGACTCCCGATACGGTAAGGGTAGCCTCTACCAGGCTTCGGGTGGCGACTGGAAAGTAGAACCTCTCTCGAGAGCGGCAAATTGTTCTCTCCAGCCGGCCAAACTCCCCTGGCATGCAAGCTCTCTATTTGGCCGATGTCTACTCTTTCCAGCCGCCTCCTGAAGCCTGGTAGAGGCTACGGTATGGGAACACATGTTATCTCAGTTACTGTCTAGTTTGATTTTAGCTGATTGTGAAAAGCTTGCAAAGCGTCGTTTTTCAAAGGTTCCTCGTTTTTTAAGTTCTACGTGGAACGCACATGTCAATGGCTGGTGTTAACGTATTCCATGGAGGTAGAAAAAAGCATGCTTATTCTGACAGTGTCTGTCAATTGTGCTGAAATCTAGGTCAGTGTTCAACTCAAATTCTCCCGTGAGAGCTGTTTCTCTAGTTTAAAATATTCTGTACGATTAAAAGGCATAAAACCATGCACGTTATCAACTCAAATCTGTAAGAAATATCACAGTTGGTATGGTCCGGTGCCATTTAATATTTGTTCAACCAGGAGTGATTGGCGTTCCGCCAAATATGCAAATAAGGGGTACACGTAATCTTGGATGATGTGGTTGATATTGGTGTGTCCGGGGAGGAGTAGACTTGCCAAAGTCACAGTCTGGGTGTTAAATGATATGATCCTTTTGCAGCTCTTAGTCTAAGAAGAGCCTAACTTTCCCCGAGCTCTAAGATCACGTCCACCGAGGCTCTGGCCTGGCTCTAGGCCTGGGTAGTCCATGGTAGTCAGCGACAATACGGAGCCGGTGGTAACTCTGAAGGAGATTCACAATACCAGCTTTGTATTCCTGTGGTTTAGTAGCATTTTTATTCTTGGCCAGAATTTCTTTTTATTTGCCCGCGCGCACTAGTTTGTGTGTCTTTAGAGGATGCCATCCATAAAATTAAGGCGGTGTGGCCTAATACTAAGTACCTCCGTGTAGTGTGTCTGATGTGTTTTCGTAGACATATTTCCACAAACTAGGCACATGGAAGAGAAGGCCCAAGAAAGGATATCTCATTTTACTTCTTCAGTTTTCTGCTACGTGTATGCACGTCTACTGCCTTATATGGGAGCCTCTACCAGGCTTCGGGAGGCGGCTGGAAAGAGTAGAAATCGGCCAAATAGAGAAACAGCATGCCAGGGGAGTTGGTCTGTTGGAGAGAACAGTTTGCCACACCCGAACGGTTCTCTCCAGCAGACCAACTCCCCTGTCTCTCTATTTGGCCGATTTCTACTCTTTCCAGCCGCCTCCCGAAGCCTGTACCTTTTGAGAACCAGTGGGAAAAGGAATAGACAAAATGAGCGAGGAATTCACAATAATGACTAAAGCAAAACATTCAACAAATACACGCATAAGTTTTCGATATTTTTATTCGGTTTTGAAGAGATAATTGAGCCACCAACAGCACATTCAACATCAATTGTTCTGTCGGTTGAGCTGCAGCAGGATGTCACAGGTATGAGAGATCTGGAGCCATGCAGTACAAGCGCGCCTCCTGTCGACTATGCAAGAACTACAAGGTGTCAGAACTACAAGACACCTTTTTGTAAATTTTGTAACGGATTTGGTAAACTATATTCATTACGCTATATAAAAGAAGTCCTACGGAGTATTCGTTCAGAATGCCTACCAAGTAAAACCTTCTATAAAGAGTATGATCGGTTAGTTTTTTTTAAATCTTCATAAACCGAAGCTTTTATTTCTTTGACGAGTAACACTCTATCAAAAATGTCATTTGTACAGGATGAGACTAGAAAAGACATGTATCAAAAACAGACCTTGGTAGATCAGGGAACAATGAAACTTTATTGAAACCTTGGTGTGACAAATCTTTTCATCTACATCAAGGGCGGATGGCAATACATGTGCAATGACGTATTTTACTCGTCACCATGGTAAAAAAAAACAATGCATTAAGAGTCAGCCACATACAACAGTGTATGCGAGAGCTGTTTATAAAAGCCTCATGAACTGACTGGTACATACTACACAACAGGCTATCACTTTGTTATGGTAAATGCAAGCAATATCAGGAAAAATATGTATTGTTTGTTTGACTTTGTAGAGAAAGACTAACCTAAGTTGAAACTGCCTATGTGAATCGCTCCAAAAACTTGGGGGGAAAAATGAAGAAAAAAAAAACTCTTTTTTTTTTAGTACGAACATTCCTTGCTAGACTTTAAAACAGCCGGGTTAGTTTATTTATCGTTTGCGTAATCGGAACTTGTACGCTTCGATTAACAGGCTGAATACGATCATCTTATTTCAACAATGTTAATATTTTCCCGGGATATTGCGGTGAATTTTGGTCACTGTTATAGCTTTTACATGAGGAACTAAAAACCTCACTGCACTGCAAAAAAATTCCAAACCCTTGCCGAAACCCCAAAATCGAAACGTTCTGACGTTCTAGAACTGCATATACAAATGTATATGTTTCCAGTTGTGGGTTACTATTATTATTAAGTCAAAAATGAAACTGCGCTGCAAAAAAATTTCCAAACCCTAAAATCAAATATCCTGGGAATTTAGAGTCCCGCAGCCCTTCTTGCTGCAATGATCATCGCCAGGAAGTTACGGGCCTTTCTGCTCCCGTCCCAGACGAGGCTCACTTGGTTGGTGCCTGGAACCGGCAGTAGGATGGGACGAACGTGCGCAAGTACAGGGATGATGGGGGGCGTCTGGAGGGGAGAGATTTATTTATTCATTTATTATGGCTTCACCACACCACGAAGTGGTGTGGTGAAACCATATTGCTTTTTCTGATGTTTCTTCTCCTTCTCCTCCTCCTTCTTCTTCTCCTGCCATTTTTTAAATGGATTCAGCTTCTTCATTTTGGGGCCTAAGGACCTGAAATTTGGTATGGAGGTACAGTGGGCAAATACCCCCAGGCGTTTTTTAAATTTTGGTGATACAGGCTTTTAGAATGGTTTTATTTGAGCTTTTTGGCTGTGTTATAGCAAATGTATTACTGTGCTGTGTACCACGTTTGGGCATGAGTCATCACAATGGAATGCAGGGCATCAACCAATAGGCATGCAGCTTTCCTCTATTCTTCTTGCTGATTGGCTGTTGGGATTTAACTTGATTAACACCTGCACAGAGCATTTTCATACTGACAGTATGTCTGTATTCAAGTGTTTTGGTAGGGATTTCAAGCTTTCCTGCTCCAGCATTGGAATGCGGGGCATGAACGTTTTTTTTTATTTTGAAAATCAACAGTTTGCATTATGCAATAAAAATCCTAACCAATAATGTAGGGAATAGCTATCCAACTGTTGTTTTAGTTGTATGTTACTTCATATTATAGTTATATCAATGTAAATCATTGTTTTCCCTTGTGTTTCTCATTCTTTCCCTACCGTGTCGTAAAATGTGGTGAAGCCATCGCTGTATTTGCTCCTAAGCAAATATTGGCCTTTCTAGTTTGAAATTGCAACATGGCAATACAATGTTGCCGCCAGGCAGCTGATAGCTGATATTGCGACATCATATACAAATATACACAATAAACACATACATCATCATGTAATCACATGTGCAATTCAGCCAAGCAATGCATATTGGCTGCCAATCAATGTGAATAAACAGTTTCAGTTTAAATTTTAAGACAAACATATACAATTGCGGGACCTAGCTTTCTCTGTCTAGTTTGCCGCAATATACAAGACAAACACGCATTTATTAATACATAAGTACATTGTCGATCAATTTACAATAAAAAATTAGATATAAGAAATACTAAGGTAACTAGAATTAAATCGATAAACATTAGGGCTAAACATATCTGTTAAAAAGAAACAGTGGCTCAGCTGGAAGTAAATCTTTTGGTAGATGCAATGTACATGTGGAGTGCATCTAGAAGTTGCTTGTTAGTGTCAAGGTCGTGGTCTGCTGATCCTTGGAGTAGGAGAGAAGCCGTAGGTCGCTGGTGTACAAGGCGTTCGACGGTAGAGGTGAGTTTGATGCGTTGTTCAGTACGTATGTAGGGGACAATGTAGCAGGTAGTGTTGAACGGTTTCAGAAGAAACTCCACAAACGCATGTTTTGTCCTTGATGTTCATCTTGTGCAACGTACTGTTTAGTTGGCACCAACCCAGTGCGTAGCCTGGTAGTGTGTATATTGTACAACCTTGGGACGAGAGTACGGTATGTTTGACGGTGTCGTGAGGTCAACAAGTGCCTTCTGCTCTCTCTCTAGAAGGCAGTAAGGTTCTGAGCATCTCTTAACTATCTGCGGTTGTTGGTTCCAGAGTGAAGATGTGTGTGGAATAAAACTGGTTTTATAGGTCTGAGTGCGACAGCGAGGAACATGGAGGGGAGAGATGATGCTAGTAAAACGTCTGAGCTGACTGGTATATATTACACAACAGGCTATCACTTTGTTATGTTAATGCAAGCAACATACATTCTGAAAAAAAAATCAAATATTGTTTGTTTGACTTTGTAGAGAAGGACTATCATCGCCGTAGCGAACCGCATTGCACAAGCATAGCTAATAAGTAGAATGAATGAAGGACCTTTATTATACATTTTTGCTCATTGCGAACTAAGTACAGGTATTGGTAAATAGCGATGGTAGACTAAAATATATCTATAGTAAAACTACATATGTACAGGTTCTGCTTCTTCTCGCTTCTTTTAAAAGACAATTGTAGATGTAACAGATGGAGTTTATAGTACGAGGATTATCGAGTTTCATGAGTAATAGAAAAAGCATGCTTCACTTCTGACGAAGAAGACTGGCGGTGAGTCTGTCCGGACTCAGTAGTGGGGCGCGGAGACTGATGCTTCTTCTGGCCCGACTTCCCTCCGGCACTGGGGGTTTGGGGATCTTCCTTCTTTTGGCCCGACTTCTCTCCGGCACTGGAGGTTTGGGGAGGATCTTCCTTCTTCTGGCGTGGCTGAGAGGGGTTCACTTTCGGGTGACCGGCCTCGGCGGTGGGATGCTTCTGACCCGCAGACGCAGTACTAGTGTTCTTCAGCTTTTGGTCGGGGGGAGCCTTCACGGCCTTGGGGGTATCTGCCTTCGCTGCAGTCTCTGTCTTGGTTTGAGGCTTCTTCTTTGGAGACTGTAGCAAGAACCCGGCCTTCATTCCGCCGAATGTGGCATTCGGTTTGCCCTTGGCTGTACCGGGAGCCCGCACAGAGGCGCTGGGTTTGTCGGGCTCCGCAGGTTTGGTCTTCGGCGGCGTGTTCGCAGGGTCGGTAGGCCCGTTCAAGTCACTACGTCGGGATTTCTTCTTTACTGTTGCACAAGCCTCATTGCTGCAGCTTGTTTTCTTCCTCACCGATGTGCCTGATTCTTGTGCAGGGGCACTAGGCTCCCTCACCACGGGTGGGGGCGGCACTGCACTTCCACATTTCTCATTGCGAACGAACCGCACATTCACGGCTGTATAGGGAGAACATACAGAATCGGTTAGAGGCGGTGTCAAGCCATATACATGATCCTGCCAAGTACATGACTCCGACACTACATGGGGGTTTCCGATATACCTGAGACAAGGGTGGGAGGTGTTTGGTCGTGATGTGCCGAGAGACTAAACCTAACCTAACGGTCCTAACCCCAATCGTAAGTCTAACCTAGCCCTGAACAATCATCCCAACTCTAAACCCTAACCCGCTAACTATACTAGTAGTACCAACCCTAACCCGAACTCTAATACCAACCCTAACGCTAACTCTAATACCAACCCTAACTCTTATACCAATTAACCCTAACTCTAACTCCATTAATTCCTAACGCTAACCCTAACCCTTTCCCTAAACGCCTGACCTCTCACATATTTGACTCAATAGTGATTCTTAGAACATCCATCCCTGGCTGTACTTCACCTACTATCGAACGCGGCGTACAGAAACTGGTCTGATTTGAAGTGAAGGAACACCCTCGGTGAAGGTTTAGACATCCAGGTAATAAGATACGCCAAAAAAACAACAGTTATTCAAGCAACTGGATATTCTCCTGCAAGTCTCCAGTGTCACTAACGAAAGGTAGTGGATGCTACCAGAAACGTCTGACCGTTTCCAAAACCATGTCCAGTCGCTTGTAACTGTTTGTTGGTGAAGGAACACCGCTCTCACCTTTTCTGACGGAGCCTACAATCCTGACTACCAGTCGGAAAAGCAACAGACTGAACTGTACCAAAATCCCAAACATGTCGTCTGGACTAACGTCAGTGTCTCAGTGAGAAACACGAGCCGAATCAGAGCGATCAAACTCACACGTCTGACCTGATGTCGGAATTTTCGACTACTGTAAGGACGATTATGACGTCACAAAAAGTATCCAAGGACGTTTGACATTCGACCTTGACATTGTGACGTTCTAAGACAAAGGCGTAACGTGACAGGCGTGGCGTTTTTGCTATATATAGTAATCGTCAACGTCAGGAAATTTACAAACACAGGCATGTCGACTGCTAGTCACTCTTCAATATATATTCATACGGACATAATAGTGATGGTTTTACCTTATACGTTTTTCGGTTTAAAGGAAGACGAATAATATGCGTAACTGGGGGTGCCCTAATTCCGACCCATCCCTAATACCGAACTAGTTTAAAAAACAAGGAAAATCGTAGATTTTGTACCTCCGGGTATTGTAATGTATGTTGCAGAATGTTGGGTGCATGTTGGGACTGTTCTTTGAATTAACTAGTGAATTCGCGCGAATACCATTTTTTTCGAAAAGTTTCGAAATGTTTGTAATTGGCTAAATGATGTGTGAAATCACTAATCCCCCCTAGCCGACTGGAGCCCAAAAATAGAAAGGACAGGAGGCATCCCGTGGCGAATCTGGCTGCCCGACCCTCAGCGACCAGCGATAATGTAAACAAACACAGTAACGGGTGTCCGAGACACGAAAAGGAAATACAAATAATCTTAGCCCCAAAACACATATACAATAAACAAAAAAAAACCTAGCACCATCTACAGCCCATTAACAGAAGATACACCGAGTCCCGAGAAGGTCTGAGACAGTATTTGTAAGCCGAAAACATCCGAAATTGCGCAAGAGGGCGTTGACCCCTGACCCATTGGCCCACCCGGAAGTTCGCTGGCTGCGACCCGCGCGATCCCACCAGGCACGAGACGTTGATTGACGGCACATGTGGTTCACATCTGAACAGTTTCAAAGAATGCTGACACCCCTCTGTGTGAAAGGTCAGATCAGTGGTCGCGACCTCAATGGTGATTATAACATGCAAAGGTCAAAAGCTTGAGGCCCGACAACACTGGAAAGGGTGTCCAGTCGGCGGTACTAAACGCATCATTTTCACGCACTAAAACACACATACTAAAACCAAAACAACGTGCACCATCTACAGCCCAACAGCAAAACGTATACCAAGTCCCAGACATATCCGTCCACCCAAACGCGAGAAACGGGTGCGAACGCAATTTTCGTCTTCCCTCACAAAACCTCCGCGCTCGGGATATACATCCCTACCCGGAGGTAAAAATCATTGTTGCGGCGTTATGCATGGGAGCACGTGCCTAAAAATAACCACAAGAATGGACAATTTTTTTTTTTGTTGATATTGGTAATCTCACAAAGTTTGTTTTAGTTCGTATACAGTCCGACACAACAGACGAGTGAAAAATCTGTGTGAATTCGACGCTTGTTCGGGGGTTGACGAGCGTGTCAAAAATGCAGGTTTTGCTTTACAGACAGTCGCTTTGGAGCAAGTCGCGTAATCGTAAAAAGAAGACTTGTTTGGGACAGAAAACAGTTGTAGATTGTTTTAGTCATAACTTGTGTATTATAATTTGTAAACTCTCTTCTCAGATCGACCTGTGTTAAACACTAGGTCGGAATTAGGGCACCCCAATTGCGATAGAACGTTCCATGCACCGGCAAAATGACCAAAAACCTGCCGTAAGTTTCGCGAATCATTACGCTTAGGTGCAAGGCGCTACACTCAAGTGGAATACACAGCTGTGCAGCTTTAATCGATATCGTTGTGATCTTTATCTGTCAATATTATATCTCATGTTGCGCGGGTTTTTGGTCAGATAAACTATTGCCAAAGGTATGTGCGTTTGCATGGAACATAGGTCGGAATTAGGGCATCCCCCGTTAACGTTATTGGCACATGCTCTGTTAAAGTGTGGTGCGTGTGGACCTCGCCTCCAAGGTCCGCTATTAAAGGAGGCGGGGGCGGCAAATGTACTCCTTAGCGGACTAACTCCCCTGGCATGTTATCTGTCTGCTAGTATTAGGTCGATTTCTAGTACTCTTTCCAGTCGCATTCGACTCAGCCTGGTACAGGCTAGTATGGGCATGGGCGATAGGCCACCGAGTTTTTGTTGAGATCGCTGTTGCTTTGTTTTATGAACACACGTATACTGTGCACTCCGTACAAGCTTAAGATTCCCGATAATCATACACTGAACACAAACACTATGAACACGGTCCGTTGAAAGGATCCGAAGAGTCATGAACTCAACACATAACACCGTGAACACTGTCCGTCGAAAGATTCCCGAGAATCATACACTCATCGCATAACACCGTGAACACGGTCCGTTGAAAAATTTCCCTA